ATGGTCTGGAGTCCTTGTCACATGCGTCGGGGGTTGGAGTTGGAGAAGTGTTCTTGTACAGCGAGAACAACCTGTCACTGAATGTGGACAAAACCAGGGAGAATCATCGACTTCAGGAAGACTCACTCCACTCACACCACTCCACTCACACACCACTCAGCATCCACGGCTCCACGGTAGAGACTGTAAACAGCACCAAGTTCACATCTCAGACGACCTCACCTGGACCACCAACACCACCTCCATCACCAAAAAGGCCCAGCAGCTCCCCCACTTCCTGAGATACCTGAAGCGGGCCAACCTCCCTCCTCCCACACTCACCATGTTCTACAGGGGCACCATAGAGCGTTCGGACCATGTGGTTTGGAAACTGCAAACTCGGCATCCTCAGCCGGCTACATCTGTCATGGTCCTGGGTCGTGTGACCCAGTGTTTGAGGTTTTTTTTAATGTATATTCATTTGTGCCCTAGTTTAGTTCATCTAGTTAATTTCTAGGTTGCTGTTTAGTCCTTTGTTTCTTAGTTGTTTATGTCATCTCCGCCTGTACTCAGTCTCCCTGGTTCGTGCGTCTACCTGTCATGCGTCATGTCTGTGTGGTTATGTTAAGTTCATGTCATGTCTAATCTCCACGTTTCCTGTTTTACTTTGAAAGTCTGTGTCCAATGTCAGTGTATTTAGTTTCACTTCTCCTGTCCTGTCTTTAGGTTCATGTGTGTCAGCTGTGCTCCCATGTGTGGCCACTTCCCTTGATCATCCCTTACGTGTATTTAGTCTCTGTGTTTCATTCAGTCTGTATCGCGTCGTCTGTGTTTCCACCCTCCGTGCTTTCACAGCCAGTCTTTACATTCATAGTCATAGTTTTCTGAGTCTTCATAGTTTATCACAGTGTCAGTTTCCCAGTTTAGTTATAGTTTAGTTCAGTCACTGTGCTTCTGCCTTGTTTGAACTTTATGTCATCAGCCATAATAAAGGCTCTCTTCCAGTTTAAGTCTTATTCTACACCATCATTTCATGTCATAGCCACTTCAGTATTCAGGGAGGGTTACTGATTTTTACAGAAAATATTTGAAAAGGACTCCAGCTTTTACTGAACCTTTCAGTTTTACTGTGAACTTTGGGTTTGTACCCAAATTGTTTGCATAGTTATTCTCAGTTTTTACTCCAAATTCAGATTTTAGATGATTGTAACTGAACTTCTGATCCTGTCCTTACTTAGTCTGTACGTGTACTGGGTTCCACTCTTGGCTTGGACTGGCACAATCATCTCAACCCTGACAGCCTTTGAAACTAAAGACCCGTGGGTCACAAAACCTATCCAGAATACCTGTCAGGGGCTGGGTCTCTGAGCCAGCGTTTTGATTGTATTCTGTATTTTTGAGTTTCTTATGTAATGTTTGTGATTATAAGTTCTTGTGTTATTCTTATTTAGGGTCTCCAGTCTGTCATGTGTTAGGTCTTTGTGTTCCATATTGTCAAGCTTGTGTTGTCATATCTGTCTCTCCACGTTTCCTGTTTCATTTCGAAAGTCTTGTGTTTCTGTGTTCAGTGTGTTTGATTTTACTCTTCTAATTTTACTCTGTGACGTTGTTATGTTCATTCTAATCTGCGGTTTCTCCATGTGTCTCCACTTCCCCTGATCACCTCTTGTGTGCGTTTAGTCTGTGTGTTCATGTCGTGTTTCAAAGTTTTTCTATGTATCCGTGCTCTGGGTTTTTCATGTTTTAATCTTAGTTCACCCAGCTTAGGTTATTGGTTAGTTTCGTTGTTGATTTGTTTTTGTTTTTTTACAATTTCTGTTTTGTACTGTTAGTTCATACTGTTTTATATACTGTTTTGTTTGTTTGTTTGTTTGTTAATTAGTTAGTTAGTTTATTTGCTTGTTTTAATCAATTTTAAATCATGCTTTTTATTTGTTCTTGTTTCTAATGTCTCTGTAAAGCACTTTGAATCACCTTGTTGTTGAATTGTGCTATACAAATAAACTTGCCTTGCCTTAATCAGGGAACTGTTCTTAAGAAAAATGAAACAACTGAAACATTTATAAGTGCTTTACGTGCGTCGTCCAACACAAAGTATGATTGGCTGGCTCAGTGAGGTGACAGACACAGGCTGGAGAGTGTATACAGGTTTTTATTTGTTATATTCTGGAATCAGCAACATAAATAAAAGCTTTCATTAAGTTCTCCTCAGCACCAGAGCCATTCATCGACAGGGTTCAGGCGAAGCCACACCCACAGGACCGGGCTGAGACCGCGACCTGTGATTCTGTTGGCGAAACGCTGAAATTGTCCACCATGATTGTCTCTCTCTGTGTGCTTCAGGAGAACGAGGATGGCATGGACACCAAGAACAAATGAAGGAATAAATATTCTTCTTCCTGCCTCCCGCTGCTCTATGTACATTATTAACAGTCTGAAACAACCCAGCAGCTGGCCTCGCCCACCTGCTGCGTGACAACACAACAAAGAAACACTGAAAACCACAAAGTGATGGGAGTCAAGGACCAGACGAAGGACAATGTGCTTCGATGTTTCCAGTTCAGTTACTTTTAAATCTGAAGCAGCAGAGATTAAACATCAGAGAAGAAAACGGATGATGACTCTCAATGTGTCTTTAAACATCTTTAAACATCTAAGTGGAAAAAAACCCAAGAAGGTTAGACCAACCAGAATCATACACAAGTCCTCAGGTGGAAAACATGAAAAAAATCATCTTTTCATTCTCAGCAATGAACTCTGTGAGTGAGCTCTGGAACAATGGACAGCAATTGGCCTTGAGTTGAGGTTAATTTGAGGATCCAGTTCATCAACTTAATTTGGGTTTATTGGTTCCAGCTTAAACTGGATCGTACTGATGGTCCATGATGACGTGATGTATCAGGGATCACTATATCCTGGTATCTCTCTGCCGTCTCTGTGTCCTCCTCACATATTTCTATAACTGATTAAACCAAGCTCTTCTAACACATCCACATGCTGCTCTGTAGAGATTATGGATTCACGTCAGACTCATCAGAGGAAAGTGTTTTGATTTAAAACCTGTGAAAATCATGTTGGCATTTTTACACATAAATAAATGATACACATAAATAGGGATGGGTATTGATAAGATTTTCACGATTCCGATTCCATTTTAGATTCTGTTTAACGATTCGATTCTTTATCGATTCTCTTATTGATTCTTTTTAAAAAAGGAGGACACTAAGGTCGATTAGCTCAGAACTTTGTTTTATATCTTCTCTTTGAACAAGATAGAAATTTAGGAGTAACATGGCCTTACAAACCCAACAGTGAGATCTTAAGAGATCCATCCTACGGCTCTTCAATGGGGTGTCACAGGGTCCCCAGGAAAAACATTGTAAATGTAAAATAATAAAATAAATATTCTTCTGTAGCAATAACAAAGTATAACATAAATTATTCTGTAGCAATTACACAAGAATATCCAGTAATGTCCCTGCCTACAATTAAACACATTCACTTACTGAAAATCATCTGCTGTGGCAAACAGGTGCAAGCCTTTGACCACAAACTGAGTCACTGCTCGGTGACATTCATCTATCCTGCCTGAAAGGAGACGCTACCGGCAGACTGCAGCGAGAACTGCCAGCATCTGAGCCAGACTCTGTCTGTCTCATCATGGTCACTAAATGCACAGTAATGGCAGGTTTTGTAATAAGGCAGATCGCTAACATAATATGCACTGTTAGTTGATTATTTACCTGCCGCATTAACGGGAGAGGACGTGCAAACGTTACCGCTGCTGCTGGTTGAGATTCACGAGTCCAGAATTAAAAACACGACATTCATTTAAGGTCATCGCGTGTTTGTGAGCAAATGCTTTTGCATATTCGTAGTGTTTCCTCCCTTAAATGAAACATCTACTTTGCAAGTATTGCAAGTTGTCCTGTTGTCATCCGTTCTCGTAAAGTATAACCAAACCTTTGAGCGTTTGAGCCGCCGTGTTTCCTGCCAGGTAAATGACGCTCCGCAACGTGGTGACGTCATTCGGGGCGACTGGAATCGATAAGAGAATCGTTTGCAAAATGGCAAACGATCCCAAGGAAGTGAAACAGAACCGGGTTTCGATACCCATCCCTACACATAAATAAAGAAAAATATATTAACAAATGTTGGCATCATTCAGCTTCTAATCATGACTGTGCTTAATTAAACACAATAACGAGCCTGAGCTCTGATGTCATGTACACCAGCGGTCCCCAACCCCCGGGCCACGGACCGGTCGTTTGGTAACAGGCTGCGAGAGTTGAGGCTCGGGTGTGAACTTTATGGTTTTTTATCGTTTTTTAAACCGTTTTTATCGTTAACTCTGTTTCCCTAGGTCTTTTCCTGAGTGTTATGAATAAATCTTCTTTTTTTTGGTAGCGGTACTGTTTTTATTTTGTTGTATTTATCCGCAACACCTTAAAGACCGGTCCGTGAAAATATTGTCGGACATGAACCGGTCCGTGGCACAACAAAGGTTGGGGACTGCTGATGTACACAACTTGACCAATGGTGAACTAATCACTAATTACTTGCTGTGATCATTTCATACCAGACAGCTGCCAGGACTCACATCATCTTTATAAATAAGCGTGTCCGCAGACTCTGCTAATTTTGGCAGACTCAGCTGAATGTCGGCAGACTCTCGGCTGCGTGAAGGCAGACACGTGTTCTGACAACTCTGGCTCTGTGATGTCTGCCAGATTTGGTTTGATTTTGGGCCTCTTTGGGGGAAGAGTTGGCAGATTCAAATTGGTGAAGTTTGTTTGGTTAAATAAGTTTTATCATAACTGGCCAGACTATGGCACTCAGATTCAGGCCAAGTGACTTCCTCTGGCCTCCTGGGCTTGGGCCTCTGCAGGGTCAAACCATCTTAGCTACCTTGGTCAGCGTGATCCAGCCACCTCCCAGTCTTGTTTCCAGAGGGATGATTAAGTTCACACTTCTTGACATGACATGAATTCACAAATGAAAGTCAATCAGATTTTAGGGTCCCTTCAATCTCAGAGGTAAGAGGGTTTATGCGAGAGTTAATGATTCTCCGCCGACAGCAGCTTCTTCCTGACAGGGCAGCTGATTTCAACCAGCAATCGGACACGGTTAAAGATTCCTGTACAAAACATGACTGCAAGGACATCCTGTTTTGAATCCTGGCTGTAAGGACTTCCTGTGCTGGTGGTGGGGATGGCTGACAGGTGAGGCGACCCGCTCTGATGGTGTTTTTATCGTTTCAGTTTCATTGAAACAACAAAAGGGTAAAAAAAAACACAAAGTGACACGAGGTGAACGCTGAGCGTCGCTCACAGAATCCAACAGTTCAAACCAGGCAGTGTAAACATGCCTTCATCCTCCTCCTCCTCTTCAGTCAGTAGTCTCTCTGCTCCTCCTCCTCTGTGTTGAAGGAGGCTCTAAGCAGAGTTCAGGTACTCCAGAGCGACTTCATAACAGAACTTATACTGTTCCTATGGAAACACAGACATCAGATGTCATTCATTCACATTTTTAAAAAAGAAACAGTATGATGTAAAAACAACTCAGTATCCACTACGGGTCACTGGACACTCCATGTGTTCAAGTTCACCATCACGGTCTGTTTTCCTGAGGTAGTTCTGGTACAGCTTGGACTTATGTTTTGGGTCATTATGTTGCTGCAGGATGAACCCCTGATCAACTAGGTGCATACAGTATTTGTACTATGCTTTCATGTCAGACTGCAGTGAGACATTAAACTGCATAACTTTCAATAAAAAAATGGAAAAATTGGCGTGTCCTAAAACCTTTGACCGGTAGTGTATGTTTATAGAATACAATAATTATTATAAAACATAACAGAAAATTATGAATAATAATAATAATATATCATTATTACTGAGAAAATGTTTTTATATTTTAGTCTTAAAAAATACAGTTATGGATTCAGTGTTAAATTCCTCTTTGATTTACTGTAAAATTTACCTTTTTTCATTTTAGTCATAAAATACAAATACAAAATAATTTGCTAAACCACTGAAGAAATGGAGAATAGAAATAATAATGATTAAAGTTAAAGCGAGCCAGTGTCTGTGATGAAGGTTGGTGGTTACCAGCAGGTCGACCATGTTTGGCTTGTTGTTCCTCAAAGTTTTTACAGCGTGAAAAACGTCGACGCAGCGCTGCTGACGCAACATCTCACACACGATACTGATACTGCAGAACACACCACTGCGACCTCCGCCATTCCTGAGGAGGAGTCAGGAGAAAGAAGACCTTTGAGTTCTCTGTCAACAGTTACATAAAGTAGCACATAAAAATATTACTGCATATATTCACAAGAACACCCCTCAAAAACAAAAACATTTACAATTGTCATAAACCAAGAACAAGCAAATCATTGTACACTGTACACAAGACATTTGTTTCCAACCAAACAGAAATAAAATGATCCACACCTGTCACCATTATATAAGAAGTAAATTCTATCATAATACATGCAGACACCAGACCTTTGAACATAAGTTCTAAATTTGTAGACCTTTACATTTTGTTTCTGCAGGTTCCCTTTTTGCCCAACCCGTAAGAAAGCTGCAAAGATAAATCTGATTCCATTGTGCTGCTGTTTTTGGGACCATAAATGAACATTGTATTCTCCAGCACCTGTCCATATCCAGCCAACCACTGTTGCAGTAATGGCAAGAGAAGAACAAGCCTGGGACACCCAACCCACAAATGTTGCAGGGTGTGCTCAGCTTGACAAAAAGCACAGTTACCCTCTACGCTCGGTCCATATGTGCAACATGTCTGGTTGTGGCCATGGCCCCATGGACCACCCACCACCGAAGATCCACGGTGTGTTTCTCCAAGTGAGGTCTGTACAAGGATTTCTAGCTACGTCTGGGAGAACCTGCTGCAGAAATACTACATCGACTCCGGACGGTCCCTCCTTCATCCTTTAGGAAAATCCATCATTTTTGGTGCCTACTTCTTAATCTACAGCAACACTGTGAAAACAGCGAAACCTTCCAAAACACCACCTTTTGTGCTCCAAACATTTTACTGTGCCTTTAAATGAGTTTTCCCTAATTTCTTCATCCTCAACTTAGAATCTCTTTAGTGTGCTCAACTGTTCATAGCTGACCACTCTCCTTATCTTTAGAACTGATTTTATAAACTCATCAAGATATGGAAAATAATCCATAGACTGTCCGCCAAATTTTCTTTGGTTCTTATAAGAGCACCTTTTGCTCTTTTGTGGAGAAACTTGCCTAAAGCCTTCCTCCTACCGTCCCAGGTACTATTTGCATTATCTGTCCCACTTATGATCTTATCCTCTAGCATCTTGAGCTCTCGTTCTAAGTCCTCAAAGCAGTCTTTAACAGTGGCCGTTGGATGCGACGTGTATTGTTGACAAAAAAGCTTAATCTGCGTTTTCCCCACCTCCTACCATTCAGCCAAATTGCAAAAGTCATTTTTCCTTTGTTTCCAGTGACACCAGAAGTCAGAAAAAGCTCGACAGAACTCTTTGTCATGAATCAGCTGCATGTTAAAGCATGTTGGTGAACAAATGTTAGAGTGCATCAATAAGGAAATATCTACAGTCACTAAATGATGATCAGAAAAACCAACAGGTGAAATTTCTGCCTTAACTAGTCTATTATTATACGTCTGATTGATAGCTATTAAACCCGATTCTTTGATCCCCATGGTAGAAGAGAGAAAACCCGACTCAGAGTGGTCAAAACATTTATAATTCTTTATTCAATCATCTTCTGGAAGAGAGAGCCCCACACAGCCCAAAGCCAGTTGCAGAATCTCTAACATTAGAAGCCAAAAATGTGTCTCATATAGGTGTTATTTTGGTCCTTTACACGTCACACACAGCCTCGATACAAACAACCCCTTCTGTGTTACTAGTTCCACTTTTTCTGTCTGGTTTCCTGTATTTTATTAATATGCCTCTGCAGCTCTGCACTAAACTTCCTGTTTTTCAGTTTGGCTGAGCACTTGGTTTATGAGTCAAAACTGGCTTTGCTTTACAAGCCTTTATTATTAAAATACATAAAACAATATAATCAGAAAATAGGCACTAACAATATATATTTATCTTGTAACACTGCCTTCACATTGCCCTCAGAAACGTTCACATATGTGTATTCTCTAGTTGTGGGATGGAGCCTTCTCCACACATCAGTCAGAAAGATTGTGGATAAAAGTGAGCCCGAAGGTGGGTGAGGCTCTCCTGTGTTTCTGTCAACTGAAGGGTGGGTTGTGCAATTCCAGTCCCCTCCCACCACCACTATTGAACCACTATGTATTTGTGATAATTTATAATTAATTTTACGAAATAACCTCACACGACCTGCAGCTGAGTTGTGGGCGCATACATTCATAAAGCAAAAGGTGTTCCCTTGATGGTTGCTTGTACTACCTGTGCCCTTCCCTGCTCTACCTCACATACGGAGACATGTGACAGCTGAAGGTGCCTAGAAAATAAAATTGCTACACTTGCACTGAGGTTAGTGCCATAACTTAAAAATACCTGCCCACTCTGTCTCATTATCTACAGTACTACTAAAAAAACCACATCAATGTTTTTGTTCCTGCTGTTCCACCAAAACTGCTCGCCTTTCTCTGACTCTTCCCCCATTACTGTTAAGCGTACCCACTCTCAAGCCTGCCATAAAGACAGAGAGAAGAGGAAGAAGAGAAAGAGGGAAAAGACAGTGAGACCCTTCCAAAAAAAAAAAAGACACCCTTAATACTCCGAACATTTTACTGTGGTTTTAAATGAGTTTTTCCTTGTTTTTCCCTCCTCAACACAGTCAGGATCTTTTTCAGGCGGCATCTTTTCTGTTTGCTCAACTGTTCATAGCCAACAACTCTCCTTATCTTTAGAACAGAGTTTGTAAATTGATCGACATCTGGAAAAAACTCTGACTTCCACAGACTGCCTGCTAAATGTCTTATCCAAAAAGCGATTTATATCTTCTAAGGAGACTGCTGATGTTCATCTTGTGAAACAATGTCAGAGCATCGTGACAGGGAATCATCTTCAAACAAGTCTTCTTCCTCATTTTCCGCGCTCAAAGAACCTGAAATTACATTTTCATTTCCTACCTCACTTGTCGTTGCCTCTGTCCTGATTTTCCTCCACAGTTTTCCTGTCCTGTCTGTCATCACTTCCATCCGGCCTGTGGAGCACTGGCTGCGATCTCCATTCTGTCACCCAGCGCCGCTAGCAGCTCGTAGCTGGCTGTTCGTCCACACCGCTACTAGCGGGCTGTTCTCTCGTACCGACATCTACGGCACGCTCACTTGCTTCACTAGCATGGCCCTGCTGTTTACCTGTGTCATTGCGCACTTCGTGCTCTTTATGAGGGCAGGATGAGCGTTTATGGCGAACATGCACTTCATGCTAACTGCGCTTGCATAAACAGTATACAAGCCGTTTTCGTATCTCACTTTAAACGACACTTCCAGTGTCTGTGAAGGATCGTTCAAGTACATGAAGGCCTGCCTTCATAGTGACTGAATGTGCTGCAGTCTGGCATCTTTGCAGCCAAGACGAACAACACTGAACCCGCTAGCAAACTTTCCAAAGCAGGTCAGTTCCTTTTCAAGTAGCTCATTGGGGATAAACGCCATCTACGCGGGTCACCGCAAACAGTGGTGAAACAGCCACAACAAATCATCCAAAATGATCCCCCTTTCAACTAACAGGTGAACCAACCGCTCCTCACGGAGAAAGGTAACCACAGCCTTGTTCATCCGAGAGCCGCAAGTTGTGTTCTCATGGCCCACCTGTTCACCAAAAGCTAGCAGAGCCTGCTCCACGGTGTACTGTTGGGGGGGCCTCCCCCGCGAACCCTCACTAGGGAGGGACGCCATTGCTCAAGGTAAAACTGGCGAATTAACTAAAACTCTTCACTTCACACAACACAATGAAATAAACTTGCCTTACCTTTTAACCACCCATAAAGTTTTCTGGAAAAAACAGTCCAAACGTCCCAAACTCACTCAGCAGCTCCACACACTCACCAAACACCTTCACACACCCATTCACTCACACTCCCAGCATGCAGTGCAGGAAGGAGAGGAGAGTGGAGTCAGGGGTTACATAGATGAGAATGAAAGCAGTTCATGTTGTGACCACTAGATGGAGACAAAACACCACACAAACTTTATAACTACTGATACTGCAGTACTCTCTGCAGTACTGTGTGTATTTCCTGTGTAAGAAACAGTGATACTCTTGCAGTAAAGTAATGAAAACACAGTTTTCTTTCTGTAGTGTTATGTGTAGTACTGCATGTAATACTGTGTGGTACTCTTAAAGGGTACTGTCTTTAGTACTGTGTTTATTAAAAGACAGTGTACTTTTGTAGTATTGTGTGTAGTACTGTGTGTATTATAAGACAGTGTACTTTTGTAGTAGTTTGTGTAGGACTTTCTGCAGTGCTGCGTGCAGTGTTGTGTGTACTCTTACAGGCAGTGGACGACGGTGCGTCCCTCGCCGCCGTCGTACTCCTCCTGCCATTTGTCCACCTGGTGCACGAGCTTGAGGAAGGAGCGCTTGGAGACGGGCGTGTCGCGGTACATCGGCCAGCCCAGGAACTGGAACTGCTGCACCATGCGGTACCCGTCCTGCGGCTGGAGACACAGGGAGAACCAGGCAGTCAAAACAAGCTCGCCCCAAACAACCAATGTATAATCAAACACTTCCCCAGAAGAACAGAAACATGAACCAAGTGTACCTCTAAACTAAACACTAAGGAGAAAGGAAGTAAGGAAACTGTGAAGGGAGAAAGGGAAAGGAAGTCAAAAGAAATACATTTTAGGAGTAAAGAAGAAAGGAAAGAACAGGAGAGAGGAAAGGAAGATATATAATGTAGATGGAAGGAAATGAGAGGAAAGGAAAGATATTAGGAAGCTTATTGAGACAGGAAAGAAAGCAAAGACAGGTTCATGTGAGCAGACAGCAGGAGAGAGCTTTAACTCAAACACCAAAATCAAGCTGCCACAGCGAGGCGGGTGGAGACGGGAGCGCGGATCAAACACAGCCGATATTTGTTGAGACGCATGGAGGAAACGAGGCCCTGAATCACAGCCGCACTCAAACTCAGCCCGATGGGGAGGTGAGGAGGCTTAAATCAAACACATCCTGAGCTAAATCTGGTGCAGCAGGAGAGAGAGAGCGGAGGCTTGGATCAAACACAGGCGCAGCTCAGCTTTATTACACAGAAATCAAACGCGCCCTGAATATGTGAGGGCAAAACCAAACAGACCCTCCGTGTAGGGTGATGCAGTTTTACTCCGTCAGGATCTGAAGACAAAGGTAATTACACATCCACAGAGACATCACGTAGAGGCGAGGTGGTTCTAACGATGGCGAACAGCCACCACGGCAGGGGAGAGTGAGAGAACAGCCATCGCCCTGACAGGACCACGGCCACGATGGTGGTTCTCTCAGGGCTCCAGCACGGCAGAGAAACTAATGGATGACTCAGCCGAGTCAGGAATCCTAGTCTCAAAGAAGACGGCCAATAGAACCCTGCACAGGGACGGACTGAGAAAGAAGACGGAGGCTACGACCCAAAGGACAGCGGCCCCACAGTGAAGCACGGTGGTGGCAGTATTATGCTGTGGGCATGCTTCACTGCGTCTGGACCTGGGAATTTCATCGAGGTGGGTGGATCCATGAAGAAAGAAGGATATGTGAATGAAGACCTGAAGCAGTCAGGCTAAACTAGGTCGGAGTCATCACTTTGTCTTCCAGCATGTCAACAACCCAACGCATATGTCGCTCCTGGTGAAGATCAAGGCGAGCGTGACAAAGCCCTGACTGTGGGCTGAGACCAAATGTAAGCACAAGAGCAGCCTGGGTGTAAACCTGGCTGGACTTGAGTTTGGCTCAAGTTTGTTACTTACATTAAATCAATTTAATAAATCAAATTTCAGTGTATTTTATTTGACATTCCAACCTACTGATACTTACAGAGTGAAGGGCAGCCAGGTTTTTACAGGAAACAAACTAAGGCTACATCCACCCGGGTATTTTTGAAAACGCAAATTTTTCTATGCGTTTGCACCTTTCGTCCACACGTAAACTGCGTTTTCAGTCACTGAAAACAGATTTTTAAAAACTCCTGCCAGGGTGGAGATTTTCGAAAACCCAGTTTTTGCGTTTACATGTGGATGAGGAAAACGGAGAAAACGCAGCGTCAAAGGTGTGCGCCTACACACACAGTTACTGTCCTTCCACACGCAGGACTCGGTTCTGCTTCTATGCGCCATCTTTGTTCACTCTTTCCCACCGAGGCTTCTAGACTTCTGATTGGCCAACATTTCTACACGGTTAGGAATATATCGCCACCTGTTGCTTTGGCATCTTCCTAGCGCGTTTTTGTGGTTACGTGTGGACGGGATTTTTAAAAAACGTGGCAGCGTGCTCGGTGCTTGATCAGATTTGAAGTTTAATTTTTCGCTGTAGAAAGAAGTTTTCTTCCCACGCAGAGTTTACAGCAGGCGCTAATGTTTCTGTCACTTTTTACAGAATCAGACTTAAAGTAATGTGATTACTTCCAAGCTTTAAATGCTGCATGGTCATACTCCCTCCAACACTCCATATTATCCATTGTTGATCTGCACACGTCTGTTGCTACCACGGACGTCGCACGCGCTCACGTCATTGTCATGAGACACTCTCACAAACAAAGTCACGGTTTAGTAACGCAGCATATTTACGGGTAAGTAACAGTAATCTAAAAGCGCACCCTGGCTGTGTTGTAGATCCTGAAGATTCGGCTGATCACGTCCTCCTCCAGGTCAGCGGACACGAACTCCACCTGCAGCGAGCCGAGGCGATGGAGACCGTTCTCTGGCCAGTACTGAGGGCACAGCTAACACACACATACACAAAGGGAAGTTATTGATCAGCTCATGAGTTTTACACCGCCCTTACCAAAGCACCTGTGCTATGATGTCATCATCACCCACCTGTTCTAATATATCTGAAAATCTTTGAGTGTGTGTGTGGGTGGAGCTTCACCTGTGCGGGGTCGACATCATTCAGCATGACAATGGATGTGCAGTGGTAGTCGAGGACCAGGCGCCAGAAGTCCTTCACCGTGTTGGGCAAAGGATGCTGGGTAACGATGAACGCCGACGGCTGCTTGTAGCTCTGCATGACACGAGGTCAGTCAGACAGCAGGAAGTGATGTCACACAAGCAGACACAGCAGGGTGGATGTCACTGTTGTACACAGCCGTGCTCAGGATTTCCGACGTCGGTGTTTTCAGCAGATTTCTGAACGCGTGCTTCCTTCTTTGAACCTGCGTTAACTTTGATATTTTAAACACTTTCCTGGAGTTTCTATAGCGACAGCTGTCTGGCTGCCTCAGGCAGGTCTGATGTGGGTGTAACGGACTCGGAGGCAGTGACGCTTGTGCTCCGAGTGCCCTAACACTCGGTGTTAAAGCCTCTGCTGCATCGACACCGAGCAGCACTTGCTAATGTTAGCTTAGAAGAGAAGTCCTCCACTCACTATCGCCACCAAATGACAGGCTCCAAGTATAACACAGAATCCAACACATCTCCACAACAGGGCAACAAGCTGACCTGAAGGACTTCACACAGAATTCATGAATGATCTGCGCTCAGCGAGAAAGCCGCTGCAGCAGGACAGCACGATGGCAGAGCGACTGAGTGTTCTCCGCTTCAGTCCTCTGTGCCGTTTGCTAAACAAAGAATCTGACGGCTGGGCTGGTCGCTCTCAGAGTTTCTGATTGGTTTACTTTTCAGCCTAATGTTCTCCTTCACCTGCACTCACATCTCTTTGGGCCAAACTGAGAGATCCAGTGAAAAGATATCAGATCAGCTCCCCATCTTTAATCTGCTTCACTTATTGTGGAACAAAAGCTTCGAATCAAAGCTGCGAGTCTGCAGTCACATTCATCAAACCCACTGTGTGTGTGTGTGTGTGTGTGTCACGTACATCCATGAGCGCAGCGTTGATGTAGTTGGAGCTCTCCCCGTCGATGGTGATGAGGAAGGGCAGGCAGCGGTCTGGAGGCAGCACGTCCATGCAGCGGTTCTTCTCATGGTTTCTGGGCAGCAGAGCGATGCTGCAGTCCTCCACTCGCAGAGTCGGCGTCACCATGTTCAGCGTCTGTGCGCGCACACACATGGACACACACCTGACACCTTCTTTCTAACCTAATGAGTTGATCTCATGTCATATTTTTACTTTCTCAGACTTCGGAACATTATTATTTTCATTGATTTTGTTTAATTTTTGTTAACATTAATTTTGTTATTTGTGATCATTTAATTAGTGATTTAATTTTTGTCTTCATTTTTTTAAATGTCTTCAAGTTTTAATCTTGTTGTTTGTTTTTGTTTGATTTTTAAGTTTTATTCATACAGCGTAAGTGTGTTGTGTCACCAGTTTGTTACCAGTTTGTTACTGGGTGTCTGTGGCACTTTTATTTTAACCGTGTCGTTTATTGTTGTGTATTTTTACTTGCTGTCATGCTGCTGTAACACAAAAGCGTCCCATGTGGGATCAATAACGTATCCATTTAAAGTAAAGACGCTACAGCGACACAGAGAGAACAATCATATGACCCCCTGTGAGCAGCACTTTGGCGACAGTGGGAAGGAAAAACTCCTTTTAACAGGAAGAAACCTCAGACAGAACCGGGCTCAATATTTAGACTGTATAATATGAATTTCTGACTTTTATTTTGAAACTGCGGTGCAATGATGTCATCACTCAGAGCTGTGATGTGGTTTGATTATTTCATGGACGCTGGCAGGTTCGTGCTCTAAACGAAGCGTGAAGAATATTAACATGGTCGTCACGTTACCCTGAACTCCTCTTTGATCTGACTCGAGTTGGTCTGAGGATCCAATCGGTTCATCTCATAATAAACCGACCGCAGCTGACTGGCTGGAATCGCTGTGTCACCGCACAGACACGCCTCCAAGATGGCATCGTGGATGAAGACGTACTGCTCCTGGTAGACAGAGGAAGGTGGTCAGACACTGTTTAAATAAGCTCCTCCTCCTCCTCCCCAGCTCTGACTGACGGGACGTCGGCTGCTGAAATGTCACTTCATAAAAGATTAATGTCAGCGCACGGCGGCTGGAGAACAGGCGAGTGACATTCAAAGTTAGAGAAGGTCATCGCGGCGTTCATTTCTGTCATTTCCTGTCAGTCAGCGATGAAGATGTGAGGACGAGTCGGAGACAATGAGGAATGATCGATGAAACTTTGATCATGAATGAAGCTGAGTAACTGAGCACGTGCAGTTTGAAACATTAAATTATTAGTGATCACGTAAAACAGTGTTTACCTGCAGGTCAGAACACCTGCACACAGGTAGAAGGTATTTCACTGTGTGAATGTGTGTGTGTGTG